ACTTCCACCCTCCTTCCTATTAGCTGTAGCTATAGTCAGGGCATGGATAAATTACAACCATACAAGTGTAAAGAGTAATGCTCAAATTGCTGTAAATGTTTAGAAATATAAACTAATCTATTGCTAATTTAAGGCTGTGCAACACTTCATTTCCAAGCTTATAAAACATTTTTTAAAGGTGTAGAATTTTTGTTAAAAGTGCCTCTTGTGGGGGGTGGGGCGCTGGGTTTGGGGGATTTTGTTTGTTTTGGTGTTACTAGGACTCCAAAGAAACAAATTTTCAAACTTAATCTTTTTAAGCATTTTTGTTTGTGAATAGGCATCTGTATAGACATTGCTGGTTGTTACATTGTTATGTAATTGTTATGATGTTGTTGTTTATATAAAAACATTAAGCATGAAGAACACATTTGACATTAATGCTGATGTAATCTCTTCACTAGTTTTCTATTCTAGTCCAATATATGTTAATGCAATCATGATAAGTGTTGTTGGCAAAAGAGTTACCTTGACATTGCAAAATAAATAAATATTGAATAAGTAAGGTACACTTTTGTACATCAATGCAACTTTTCTACCTGGAAAAAATATCCTGGGAAGATAATATTTTGCTGCATTTCAAAATAATGCCCATCAATGTACATTTACTATGTGGAAACCACATACAAGTAAAAGGTCTGAGCAGTAAATCTTTAACAACAGAGATGAAGCTAGTTTTTTAACTGAGAAAAGTGGTGATTAGTGTCTTAAAATTTCTCTCCCCCTGAGACCTAAGAGAAATAGAAGGAGCAATTAACAGGCACACATTGTTAAGTAATGCATTGTACAGATGGAGCTGTTAATATAATTCCTTGATCTGCACCCTCTCTAGGGACTGGTTCTGCAGTTCTTACTCAGACTAACAGATTGACTCCCATGCCCTGAATAAGCACTGCAGGATCTAACCGTCAAAGAGACACCGTTACGTTGGAATGACAGACCTAAAACGACACTCTACCCGCTTAGCTTTGGTTTGGTAGCATAAGAGCGCATGTCATGCTGACCTGTGTCGGCTCCATTCTTTCGAGTAGGCAGGGTAACGAAATGTACAAGAATCCTGCCCTTGGACGCTGCTAGCAGAGTGTGGAGTTCTTTGTACATTTCAATATCCTGCCTGCTCACATCGACTTAGGCAGCTGATAAAGCAGAGGGACGGCTTGTGATGCGCACAAGGGTGCTTATGTCATGCCAGTGTACACATACCTGCGGTAGCAAACAAAACCAGCTCTTTAGATTTGCTCTTGGCAGGTCGCCCAGCGGGGTAGTTGCCATTTTAACTAGCGGCAATGCAATTGGGGAAACTGATACACTTTTTCTCAAGGAGCTGTTAGATCTTTTAAATGTGATTTTCTAAAGTCTGGTTTAAATCATGGACTTTATTCTTAAAGGAGCATTTAAAGTTAATTCTTTCAATCTATCCTATTTTAAACTTGGGAAAATCCATTTAAATGGTAACAGAATGAGAGACTTGCTAAATAGTCTGGACAACAGCAATAGACTTTTGAATTAATTGCAAACAAAATACCATCTGATGCAGAAGCCCCATAAACAGTAAATAGAACTAATCAACATTGGGAAATAAAAAGGCATTCACCCAGATTTCCACAGAAGCAGCAGAATAAAGTTTTGCCATAGAAATTTTCAAAACACAATAGGGACCTATTATTAATACAGCAAGTGTGTAAATCCAGAGACATTGACCAATTAAATAAAAATTGTACAAAATTCTGGGGCACAATGGAAACTAATTAATAGCCAAAAGTGCTCAATATTTCAGAAACTATTAAAAACACACACTCACCCCCATAAACCAAGTTTGTAAGTATTTCCTCAAGCACCTGAAGCAGCTACAAGAGTGTCTAATAGTAGTCTCATTTATTTGGAGGGAGACTTCTTCAGCTAGATTAATGTTCGTGCAATTCTTAAAGTGCTCTCACTCCTATGAACCATTATTTTTTTTGTCGGTGTTTCAGAGAGATTTAAAATGCATAAAATCATATGCCTACAGGTCTACATATATCACATTCAAACTGTCAGAGCTCTGTAAAGGAAAAAACAATCTGGAAAACTGAACATTGGAGAAGAAACGCCCAGCGTTGTCCAAGATTTCTAAGTCGCCTCCTTCAATTGAGCTCAGACAGTCTCCACGCGTCACCCTTACTACTATTTCAGTTTCTCTGAAAGGCCCTCATACTTTTCTGTCTGCTTCCTTAAATCAACCCATTGTAGAGATTTTTTTTTAAATCCCTGAGAACTGCAATTTGTTTTTCCTGTGGGTGCTTGCCTCTGTTGTGTCGAACATTAGCATGAAAAGGATGCCCCTGTAGGGCAACGAAGCATGAAATCCCGCAGCTCCTTTGCACAACAACAATATCCACATGGAAGACTAGCACACACCATGTCACTAGATACAATAACACATATTGGAAGTGTCAGTAAAAAATTAGCTGTGGCTGGTTTCTCTTTCAGTGTATTCCTCTCTCTCTCTCTCTCTCTCTCTCACACACACACACACACACACACACACACACTCACTCTCTATAGGGGAAATAGCTGAATGGGGAAATTAGTCGTTTGTAGAATCATATATTAAATAAGACTGAACATGCAGTCCAAGCAAACGCAGGTTAAAAAGTACAGGAACGGGGTCTAATTAACTAATAATTACAGTATAAACTTTCGAATGGAAATCCTCCAACAATGTCCTCTGATCTATTCACACATCCTTAAATACAGCTGACAAGTATGATTTGCTTTAGTGTTTCTTCCTTTCGTTGGATGTATTCCCCACCCGCTCCAGATCTTAAAATAAAATAAAAACCCAGAAAAGCAAAGAGCACTCTTCTAAAAAGAAAAGGGGTAATGCGTTCTGATTCAAAGAGTCACAAACCTTCTTCAGTATAGCTTCTCTTTAGAATGATTAATAAGTGCGTATGTGCTGGAACTTTATATTCTAGGGAAATCAAGCTTTTATTTTTTAATTAGAAAAACAGTTTATTGTTAAATGTTTTAATTTTGTTTTTAATTTGAAAAAGCACTTTGGTGTAACAGAACATTTCGCAGTTACTCGGCCCTCTTTTCCTTTGCTTCATCCCTTGTAGTCTTCTTTTTAAGACGCTTTGAGGGGTGCAGAAGAAATTATTACATTTCTAGATTATCACTGGTGATATTTTAACTTTAAAGAAAAGCAAACGACTGTTTTTTCAGTCCGTTTATTCCCTGGAATATTTTAGCCTAATGTTAATCTTATGCTTTAAAATAAATAGACAGAGGTAAACAAACATAAAATCAATATATCGATTTTGCCCTTCACCAATAACTCAGCTTAACTTCTGTATTCAGACTCTAGTGAATAGCGTTTGTATATTTGTTTAATTAAGCGCCAGTTAATTCTTTTAGCCTGGTCAGTACAATTGCTCCAGCTTTCTTGGAAAGCAAGATCGAAGCTCAACAAATCCTGGTATTGTCCCTGTCTGCGGTTTCCCGTCTTATCACACAACTCCGCCAAGGACCGATGTGCTTAAAAACTATCCCGATCTCTTAGGCGCCCTGAACAGATGAAAACCTACTGTTAGTGGGGAGTTGTTACAGTATAGCAGGAGCTCGCCACACTCCGCAAGCGCCCCCCCCCCCGCCCCGGCTGGCCCTGACACTGTAATTGGCGCAGGTTACATTTCAAAAGCCAGGATGACAAGTTTCAGATTTCTGTCCACACAGGGAGCCAGCCCAGCCCCGCCGCCTGAGACAGCTTCACTCGCCCGCTGAACAGGCTCGACGCCCCTGAGCTTCAGCCACTTCTCTCTCTCTCGCTGCATCTCTCTCCCCCCATCACTTTCATCTGCTCCCATCGGCTTCCCACTTCGTTTCCCCAATTCCCCTCATCTTTTCTTTCCTCTTTCCCTCTCTTCCCGCCCTCAGAAAAAAGCAAACCCTTCTCCTCCTCCCCTCGGTTTGCCAGGCTGGCCATAAGGCTATTTCTGTTGTAAGCAGTTTATTTTCTTAAACTGACTCTGTGTGTCCAATCCAAAGCAGCCAGGTCTAGTGCCCCTGGGCTTCACGCAGGCAGCATTCGGCTGGCAACTGTCCACTACAATACGGACACAAAAGAGTTCAACCTGGCGGCGCTACAATCCCCAGCATGCTGAGTGACTCCCAGTTTGGACCAGATCTCCCTCCTGAAGAGAAAACGACTCGAAACAATGACTGTAGAACAATGATCTCAGGAAAACGGGGGTGGGGGGTGGGGGAGAGACAATCACCAAACTTTTAAAATACACTTGAAATTATTATGAAAAACAGATTTTTCCAATGGTATATTTTGTAATAAATCTAGTCAAACCGCGTTCCCAGAATTAGCAAACCGTGTCTCTTGTAAATCCACAGCCTCCTCCAAATCCTTTTCAACACTTATTCCTGCCATCTTTGTCTCCCTAGTCCTTTAAAATGTCAGACACCCGACAAACACATTGGTCACCCAAGAAGCAGCTACTGGCCATCTCAACTCACCACCACCACGTCCTGGAAGGGAGGGGCAGTACGGGGCCCAGCCCAGACTGAAATCTCCCCAGAGATGAAATAACCCCCAACACCAGGATCCAGCTTCCCACAATAAAAATTCCTCAGATCACAGCAGCCTAAAAGCAGCAGAGTCACACGGGTTCAGGCGGGACCTGTGACTGCATTTTTTAAGCCTCCCTTCAAACTACCTGCAAAGGGGAAACAGATCCATTTGTGGTTTGGGGAGAAAAGAGGGGTGAGCTAATCCAGCATCACGTGCCAGGGGGTGAGACGGATCATGCATCGGAATGGAAACACCGCTGGGGGGGGGGTGTGTCAAATCCCCTTTCTAGTGCGTAAGTAGTGCCCGTGACCAAGCGAGCGGGGTCTGATCGCTCTGGCTCTGGCCAGGGGAGCGGCTAGCGCTCAGCTGCACTGAAGGAGGGGGCTGGTGGGCAGCGCACCTGGAAAGAGCGAGACACTCTCAGTTACTGACTGCACGGAGCGGCCCGCCTCAGGTTAGGCACGTGCCCCAGCGCAGCGCAGCCCCGGCCAGGCTGCCCAGCCCGGCACCCCCTGCCCCGCGCTCGCGGCACGCCGAGCTTTCCCACGCTCCGCCGCCGCTGGACCGCCCCCCAGGCTCCAGCCAGGGCCGAGCCCGAACGGGGCGGGGCGAGGCCGTCACTCACTCGCCTTCTTCTCCAATGGGCGGTGCCCCCGCCCGAAGGGGCGCGGCTTCGGCAGGCGGTGGGCGGGGTCTGGGCGTTTGAGGCTGAGCGGCGGCGTGGGAAAGCGCCTTAGAAGCGCTGCGGGCTGCTGGCGCGTAGGGACTCCGCTGCGCTGCGAGCCACGCGTCGGTTCGGTGCTCGCTCCCCGTCCGTGGCAGGGGCTGTGCTGCCGCCGCCATGAAGCGGCCGTGCGAGGAAACTACCTCCGACAGCGACATGGACGAGACCATAGACGTGGGGAGCGAGAATAATTACTCGGGGTAAGGACCTAGGTGCGGGGGCTGCTGCACCCACTGGCTTGGAATGGTTCCCATCATATGGGGAGTTTGTCATTTGGTACAATGGCTCTCAGCACCCCGGGCGAGGGGCTGGTATGGTGCATCACCCAGGGGCTCTGTGCTGGGGGAGGGGGGTGGATGTCGGCTAATGCCCTGGTAGGAGGGGTCACACACGTGGGGGTTTGTGAGCTGGCAGCTCCAGCGTCCTATTTCTCAGGGCTTGTCCGGGGATTTTTTTTCTCAGTGGGGGGAAGGGGGTGTTCTGGTGTGGAGCATCCCGGCCCCTAGAACCAGCCTCTGGTCAGTGGGGAGTTGTGGAAAGACTGGGGTTGGGGGCTGTAGTTGATGTAAGAATTAAGAACCCTCCTACGATCTCATGTTGTTCGGAGCAGTGTGCTTACCTGAGCCCAAGCTGTCACACCCCTATAGGTGGATAGAAAGGGGCGGAGGCCAAGGTAGGCGTCAAGCTGACAATAAAGTGCAATAGATTCTTTTCACTACTGGTCTAATTATAAACACTTGAACAGTGAAAATGAAATGATAAAAGGGCTAATATTGAATTATAGAAATTAAATCAACTCAGTGTGTTTGGTCTGCTGCTGTGTGTTTTGAGGAATGACAGTCACCATCTGATTTAGACCGTGGTATTCTGTTTTAAGGATCTGTTTCAGGATATATATTTTTTTAATAGCTGAATGATCTGTACATGTGGAGTCATGAAATCATATGCTACCAACATCAAACATGAACAGGGACTCAATATCTCTATTTAAAAAAAGACTAATCAAGTTCTACTAGAAATTTTAGTGCCCAGGCAGGTCAATTTATAATTTAATCTAATTTGTATTCCCACAAATTTTTCCATGATTTATCTAAGGCTGTATATCGCCTATGAGATTCAAAATTATTTCCAAGATTTTGGAACTTAAAAAAAGAAAAATGCACTGTTTTAATGAATTAGTTATGATTACGTGTAGGGATTGTATTGAAAATATAACAATAGATATATCCTGAAAAGTGATCAGTATAAGTAATCTCAAATATCTCAGTACCTATAGGAAACTACTTTTGGAAAGTGATTATTCCAGTCACTGAGTGAACACTACAAGCACTCTCTCTTGTTCCCTGCGTAAAATGAGAATGAACTTTCCCAGAGTTTGCAAAGACCGGGCTGGATTTGAAAGTTGGAAGATATTGCCAATTTTGAGAAGCAGGTTCCAGAGTCCATTTGTGTCTGCAGATATGTGAAAAATCTCTCTCTATGTATCTTTGAAAGACCATAATGGTTTCTGTTCACTTCTGACAGAATGAAATGTATAACACTTGCTGGTGGTGGTAGATTTAAAAACAAACATTTTAAACTTTTTTTTTTTCTGGAGCTGGACAAAGCAATGGAATTAGGACATATTTCCACTTATGTGGGTGGCTATTAGATACTGTTGCGATAGGCACCAATGTGAGAACCTAGACAGAGACACAATCTGTCGTTATGGCTGGTATATTAAAGCACCTTTCATCACAAGTGTAATCCAAGTATATGAATTTATCATGTTTTCTTTATTGAATTTTTTTAGACTGAATATAATACTCAGGAAGTTGTCATGGTGGAAGCTAAATCAACTGAGCTGGTACCATGATGTGTCTTTGGGAGGGATACTTCTAACGAAGTTATCGGCCAGCCACTTCAAACACTATGCTAGGGTAGGGAGAAAGTGAAACCTCAGTAAGAAGGAAAGACTTAACCATGTTGTACAAAGCACCTCTTCCAAACATGTAGAACAACAAAGAAATAGCTGTGAATATTTAATGTGGAACACTAGGTATTTACAAGGCAATAGTGTCATGTTATGCAACACCTGACATACCTTTACTATTTCACAGGCAAAGTAGTGGGTCTGTGATTCGATCAAATTCCCCAACAACAACATCTCAGATTATGGCCAGAAAAAAAAGAAGAGGGGTATGGATTTTTTTTTTTTTAAATTTCCCATGTAATATTTGCATGTATCCTCTGATTTCTGTCCTTCATGGTTTTATAAACTCGTTTTTGTTTTGTTTTTGGGGGATAGATTATAGAGAAAAGGCGCCGTGATCGTATAAATAACAGTTTATCTGAGTTGAGGCGGCTTGTGCCAACTGCTTTTGAAAAACAAGTAAGCTTTTCTTATTTTATACCTGTGTCATCTGGCAGTGTTGGTTTTCTTATAAAGCTCATTCAAATAATATCGTATGTGTCCTGATCTGGCACACAGCAGGCATTTCAACAAAATGCTTTGTTGTGGCAAAACTATTAAAAACATAATCCACCGTAAAGCTGAAAAACATTTCCATTCTTTGGCTTGTTTTTCCCTTAAGGGTCACAGTTTTCATGTTGTCTCTGTTCTTTCGATGAATTCCAGTAGTGGTTTTGTTAAAAAATGTGCTTTATTCCATATACTTAAAAAAAAAAATTGTGGGCCAGTTACCCATCTGTCTAAATCTTCTAACAAAATCCCCCTTCCCCACCTCTTTAAATAGCTTCCTTGTAAACAAAATTCACAAATCCAGAATAATGTAATCAGTCCTGTTTCCTAAAAAGTAAACAGATTGCCTAGGTTACTCCGTTTTTAAATGTCTAGTTAGTAGCTGCATATTAGATTGTAGGAATACGGTCCTGCTCCTAATGAAGTCAAAGGGATTTTCAAAGGCTTTCAATGGGAAAGTCTTCAATGGAAAGATTCACCTTGACTTCAGTAGGCTATGGGTCAGGTCCTTAGGTTTGTAGTTGTATCGAACTTCCCAGCTAACAACAACTTACTTGTTTTGATAATTTCATGCAGCGTCAACATCCATAAAACCCCGATAGTCAGTAAAACAGAAATGCTAGGGCATATTAGAATAAAACCCAAAGTCAAAATATGGCCAAAGTAATTGCTAATTTAAATCAGTTCGTTTCAACAAGAGGGGAACAACTAAAATTTAAGAACAAAGCTCTTAGTAATTTAAATACATTTAAAACAAACACAAACAATGAGCCAAATCCTGCAAGGTGCTGACTGCTCTCAACTGCCATTGATTTTGGTGGGAGTTGAGAGTGCTTCGCTACTCCCAGGATTGGGTCTTATACTATTTCTGAACTAAACAAAAGCGAACACTTAAGTAATTGTGCACTTGGTGCTATCTGCAATATGCCTTTAATAGCTCCTAGTCAGAACGGTGCCATTTCATAGACCCTGGCAACATGGCATGACCAAGGCATTTTCAGCTAGGCAAAACAGGCTAGAGACAATTGTTTGTGCCATTTTATTGTTTACTTCTTGAAAACCACATACATTATAAAACAAGTCCTACATAGCCCTTGGAAATTACCCAGCAACATGCAGTTTTGAGCTGTTAGTCACTCTCATTGAGACGGCTTGTATTCTGTCTATGGAAAAGATTAAGATTGAGAAAAGTACAGGCTATAATTCCATATAAGATTCTAACAAACAAATTCACCAAATTTTGGTATACTGAGATGTTGAACATATTAACTTAGTAAGAAAAAAATAAGTGGAAAAAGTAGCATATAGTGGGTTCTTAAAGTTTTTCCATGATATATCAACCACAAAACATCAGTTTTTAGTATTCTTCTTGACGTTCAGATCACTGAAATTGCCATACTTGTAAAGGGTCAATAGTCTTAGTTTAACAACAACAAAATCAAAATCTCTGTTCTTTAGAGATTCAGTTGTAGAGTTTTGTAGGTCATAAAACTTAGGATACGTCTATACCCAGCCGCTAGTTCGGCGGCTGGCAATCGAACTTCTGGGTTCGACTTATCGCATCTTGTCTGGACGCGATAAGTCGAACCCGGAAGTGCTCGCTGTCGACTGCGGTACTCCAGCTCGGCGAGAGGAGTACCGCGGAGTCGACGGGGGAGCCTGCCTGCCGCGTGTGGACCGAGGTAAGATCGAACTAAGGTACTTCGAACTTCAGCTACGTTATTCACGTAGCTGAAGTTGCGTACCTTAGTTCGATTTGGGGGGTTAGTGTAGACCAAGCCTTAGTTGCAGAGAAATATACTTTTGACTTCATTGCCATCATACAAACTCAGTTGAAATCAGTGGATTTTTTTATATCTACTGAAGTCAGCAAGGTTGTATGGAGAGAAGAATTGGCTCATGGGGCCAGATTCTCAGGCGTCATAAATCAACATAGCTCTGTTGTAGCTCTACTGATTTATGCCAGTTGAGGATCTGACCCATAATATTTAAAGGAGAGTGTAGTTCTTTAGGCATCCTCCAGATGTGTAAGGAAATGCTAATAGCCACACGAATATTCATAAATTTATCTACAAACAAAATTAATTATCTCAGTATTGTAAAACTTAAATTTTATATTTTCCCAATATTTACAAGTCTATGAACCAGCATAACCAAGTCTCATGGACATAGCAAATTGTGCTCTCTGTTAACAGTGATGGTCTTTCCGGGTCCTGTAAGCAAGGCCTCTTCCTAACCCAAAAAATTTTGGACAATATATGTGTATATACAGAAATGACCATATTTCAATAAAGGATAAGAATAGAATTTTTATCATCCAAATGACTAATCAAAAAATTGTTGGGTCATCTTTAAAAAAAAAAAAAGTCTGTGTAATTCCTGGATTCTCTTTTGTATGTGTACACAGTGACACCTACTGGTAAAAGCAGAAAACAATGCTGTGATAGGCTCCCCTCAATAATTGCACATTGCTTGCTGTTTGTTATATTTCTATTCCTCTGTGGGAACAAACCTCTGAAGAGCCACCTACTTAATCCATTGCACAACAGTGTAATATCTGACATGTCTACACTGACTTTAGTCCACAGATACATTAGGCTATACCTTTCATAAGGCCAATCCCCTTGTCAAGCAATTCTATTATTTATGCATCTTTAATAATGATCCCTTCTGTTGCATAAATAGACTGTGACCCCCTAAACTGTAAATTTTTTTGTGATATCACTATTTCTTTACTAATGTGTTAGACACATACACATTGCTAGACGTGATATGGTATTTGTCTTTAAATAAAGTCTGGGATGCAGATGCTCAGTGAAAGCATTAAGCTGAGAATGTTCTAATGGTAGGGAAAATTGAAACCATAAGACTGAATTCAAAGGAAAGTATACCAATTTAAAGCTTACAGTACTTGTAAGCCTCTATTTATTTGAACCTCTTATCTCAAAGGGATCTGCAAAATTAGAAAAAGCAGAAATACTGCAAATGACAGTGGATCATTTGAAGATGCTCCAGGCAACAGGAGGTAAAGGTAAGGAGTTGACTCTCTTTTTTTTTTCTAATATTTCGGGAAATCTTAGCAAACAGTCCTTTGACGAGCCACGATAGGCGATTCCAGATTAAAGAAGTGGAAATCAATGCTAATGTCAGGATTGAACTCGTGGGAAAGAACTGCTGGGACAAAAGAAGCACTTGACCCTGGGCTTGTTTGCTTTCATAACACTGTGGGAGTAAAGGCTTCATTCACAGGCAGCCCAGTCAGAGATTTGTTTGGGGTTTCCAAAGAGCACTGAAATCTGCACAGGGAGACAAAACAAATACACAAACATCCAAACATAAACAGGAGGTTTGTGGCAACAATTGTGCAGCACAAAACCAATGTTAAAACTCATTATAAAGCAGCTATACCAAAGGAAGTGGATCCAGAGGAACTTTCATTATTGTTTATATATTTTCTTTGTTCTGAAAGACTATTTTAAATTCAAGATTAGACTGTCTCATTCACCAGACCAAAATCTAATCTTGTTACATGCACCTCTGGGTATCAGACGATAGACAGATAATACATATTTAGACTCATACTTTTATGCAGGCAGTAACGCCTGGCAGGGTGTTCAGTTATTCCTCATTAGCTGGCACTGCGATGATGTTGAGGCTGGAAAGTAAGAAACGGGAAATGGCAATTTCCAACAATTTATAACTCACCCAAAATTAGATTAAGGTTGAGCTATGTTTTCACTGCATAGTTAACCCAGGTGATCTGCACCCAGATCTGAACTCCCAAACAGCCACGCGACAAAGCCCCTCCTGAGTTACTGTGTCCTCACTGGTGCTACCCAGCCCCATGTGTGTGCTAGGGGCACCGCCTATGGTTACCTGTGTTTCTTTTAGTAAGCCCTGAGTTGCTCTGAGTCTTACCTTGTGAATTGTGGGAGAACTTGTCTATTCTTCTTGGCACATGGGGAATTAGGGGAAGGCATCAGTACTTGAGTGATTTAGCCTGCATATTTGCTGCGCAGTGGGTGGGTTACCAGCCCAAGTGAAAGCTTCACGTGGGTTTTAGCCTACAGCCACAGACAAGCCAACTAGCCCAGGTTGAAAGCACCACTAAACTAGGGGGCGGGGTGTTATGTGTGGACAAGAAAGGGTTCTGAGGCAACTTCAGTATAAAAGCCCAAGTTTACTCAGCAGTGAAGTCATACCCTTCATGGGATAATAAAAGGCCCTGAGGGCTGTCTTAAATACTCTGACTCGAATTGAGATATATAGTGAAAAACTACCCTGTTTTGAACTGAAAGTGACTGACAATGGGAGACCATGCGTTATAATGCTGAATGGATATTTTTGCCATAAGGCATTATTTCCCACTGGCGGCTGCTTTCAATCTGAAGGGCAATAGTTTTCTCAGTAAACAAAATACTGTAGGCTATAAATTGAGTTTGATGATAAACTCTTTGGGAAGGAGAATGTCATTTCCTCTGTGTTTTAAAAAGTGTCTACCATGTTTTGGGCACCTAATTAGATACCTGTTTAATTCTCTCCCTCCATCCAATGTGCTATAGATTCAGCTATCATTTGCTGAAGTGCCTCAGAGCTCAGATGACCATAGCGCCTACATAGTGTGTCTTTAAGTGATTACAACATTTTATGTAAAGCATTTTTTATTGAAAACCTTTTCATGCAGAAGCAATGACAAGATGTTTTTAGTTTGCTGTTAAATAACACAACATGTCATGAAGCCTTTATGAATTTATTTAGCAGAGTTTGTAAAGACTGTCTCCAAACTGTCAAGCGGTTGATTTTAAGAACTATTTTATAAATGCCAATGTAGGGGAGAAAAGGCAGGATATTCTATACAAGCCCTTTAATCTTCAACCCATTCCTTTGTGCGTATGTGCGTGAGACACACACACAGACTCTGGGTCAGTGTTACCATGGAAAAGCTTGCTGTGGAATTTCAGTTTCCCACAATACAAGATGAGAGGCATCATAAAGCTTTTTGAAGAACGTCAAACACTGATGGTCTTAATTTTTCTCCACTGTAATATTGAGTTGCAAGAACAACTGTAGCATATTACATTACCAGAGATAATCTCTCACACAATTTACAAAGCAAACTTTCTTCCCATCAAATCTCAAACCATAAATAGGAGATACAGATATTTAGCCAGGATCGTGCTAGCTGACTCCTAGCTAAGATAGGCTAGGAAATCATCTGATACTCAATGCATCTTTTACCTTTCCTTTCAGGTTATTTTGATGCTCATGCACTGGCCATGGATTTCATGAGCATTGGATTCCGAGAATGTTTAACTGAAGTTGCAAGATATCTGAGCTCAGTGGAAGGTCTGGACACATCTGATCCGCTAAGAGTTAGACTTGTGTCTCATCTCAGCTCTTGTGCATCTCAAAGGGAAGCTGCTGCAATGACCTCATCCATGGCTCATCACCATCATCCCTTGCATCCTCACCACTGGACAGCAGCATTTCACCATCTCCCTGCCGCTTTACTGCAGCAGAATGGACTTCATTCCTCTGACACCACTCCTTGTAGACTTTCAACAGCGTCGGAAGTGCCTCCTCATGGCTCTGCTCTTCTCACGGCCACCTTTGCCCATGCTGACTCCGCACTCAGAGTGCCCTCTGCTGGCAGTGTTGCTCCCTGTGTTCCACCTCTTTCTACCTCTCTTCTGTCGCTCTCTGCCACTGTACACGCTGCTGCTGCAGCTGCTCAGAGCTTCCCTCTGTCTTTCGCTGGAGCATTCCCAATGTTTCCACCTAGTGCAGCGGCAGCAGTGGCAGCTGCAACAGCAATCAGCCCACCATTATGTGTATCGGCAGCTTCCAGCCCTCAGCAAACTAGCAGTGGTGGAAATAGTAAACCCTACCGACCTTGGGGGACTGAAGTTGGAGCTTTTTAAGACTACACACACACACACACACACACACACACACACACACACACACACACACACACGCGCCATCTTTGGACTTCATGCAGTACTAACTCAGGCTGGGTCTACAGTACCTGCCTGAATCGGCGGGTAGAAATTGACCTCTCGGGGATCGATTTATCGCGTCCCAACGGGACGCGACAATCGATCCCCAAATCGACGTTCTTACTCCACCAGCGGAGGTGGGAGTAAGCGCCATCGACGGGAAGCCGCAGAGGTCGATTTTGCCGCCGTCCCTACAGTGGGGTAAGTCGGCTGCGATACGTCGAATTCAGCTACGCTATTCACGTAGCTGAATTTGCGTATCTTAAATCGACACACACACACACACCCTGTAGTGAAGATGTAGCCTCAGTGTCCTTCCTATTCAGTCAAATTGAAGGTCTGTATCCACACAAATAGCCTTATAGATGCCTGCAAGCCAATCAAGGAACAGTAAAGCTATTCTAGGGTCAGACTTAAAAGAGGACATATAGCAGTATTGGGTATATTTTTCTTTGTTTTGCTTAAGGCACATTGGTGAGCAACGGTGGCTTTCAGAAACCTCATACCCCAGTGACCATTTAGAAGTTTATTGGGAAATAGGTAGACTCTAGACCCAATAATCCTCCAGCCATGCACCGTTATTTGGCAGACAGATGGGGGCTAGCACCTCTAAATTTCTCCTGAGGCTGGACAAAAAGTTTGAGTTTCATAAGTGCCTGACATACATATGCGTTCTTCTAAAGCAAATCACACTGCACAAGTATGAAAAAAAAGAGATTGGGGGAGCAAGAAGGGGGAGAATCCTGCATTAAGCTACAGACATTTTGATACATTTCCAGGAAAGAGTGAACTCTAAACCAACAGGTTTATTTAGCCAAAAGGATTGCTGAGAAAGAATGTTCAGCTTGATAGGCCTAATTTTATCTTACCTAGTTGACTTTCTTTGTACAGACTTGCCAAATGGTGACATCTAGCATAGCACTGGTAAAAGCAATTATCTTATCAGCGCTTGGATTGATGAACATTTCAGCACTGTCTGTGAGCCTTGAGGCACTTTGGTTTTTTTTTTTAAAATGGCTTAGACTATGGTGCTTGCTTGTCTCTGTACAAGCAATGAATTTATAGTGCACACAGAAGTAGCTGCCTACTAAAAGCGTGCACACATCAAGACAGTTGATCCATGCCAATACAAGAGACTCAATGTTGTAAAGAGTTCAGATTAACTTATTTAGTTGCATTTGGACATTTATTTTTAGCAGCCTCCTGATTCTGTGCAAGATCTCTCCTCTTTTCACTATCAACTTCTGGAGGTAACGATTTTCTCTGGGTCTGAATGAAGTTACTGTGGGGGTGTTATTTTAAATTGGCTTTTTACATGCCAACATTGTAAATGTGGGTTTGATTCCAAACCAAAATGAATGTACTAAAGGGCATATCAGTAAATTATTTTGTCAGTACCCAGACAACTAGTGCTGCATTAAAAGTTTTGCTTTCTTTTTTATTACAGTGACTTAAAATAACCTAATATTTTAGTACATTGACTCAAGAACTAGAGATTTTATGAGAAAATAAAACACAGCATGTATTATGCACTTGATTTCTCTGCTGTGTGGAGAAAGCAATAAACATGGAGAATGTTAAACATTATGCAAAATATACTTTAAAATATTTGTTTTAAAAATACTGTACCTAGTTGCTTTTTTGTGCATTACTTTGTTAACCTTTTTCTATGCAAAAGTCTTTACATATCACTAATTAAACGAAGTCCTTTTTGACTGCGTTTTATAGATGATTTGTTGCAGTTGTTTTTGCTTGCCTTTGGGAAGTGGAAAGCCTAAATGGACTTGAAGTTCAGTGTCTACCTCTGATAACAAGCATCCATAAGTTGCTGTTTTTGTTTGGACCTCTTTGCTTGTTCTAAAAGCACATCTGGTACGTAGTGTGCTTGAAATGGGAATGGAAAAATAATCCTACCACTGAAACCGTGTTGTTTTCCGGCTTGTAAACTGGCTCAGTGTCAGTTGACAGTAAACCTTACAATATGAACCAGTCCTGTCCGTTTCCCTCACCCCACCCCACCCCCAGCAGCAACAAGAAACAGCTGTGGGTTGCAGATGTCTCTTTTGTTAAAACACTAAAGATGTGGTATTATTTGGAATGAGTGGCCAGGTACTAACCCCAGAAGATCCTCATGCATGTTAATAGAGAGTGTTGATTTTTACTACTTTCCAATCTTCCTTTTTGCAGATCCTCATGGATTAGTAATGTAGCCACTGGCCAGAGTTTGCTGTACCTAGCACTTAATCTCAAATCAAGAAGATAACATAACTTCTATAGTACATTTAATCTCGTGCTAAAAGCACTTAACCAACATTAAGTCACAAAATCCCTGTAAAGTGGAGAAAGTATTATGATGCCCACTTTACAGATAGGAAGATTGAGGCACAGAAACATGACATGCCCAAGGGCAAACAGCCTGAGGCAGTATCAGAGTATGAACTACAACCCCTCCACCTTGACTCACTGTGCCTGGCCCTTGGTCCAAGCAGTAAAAAACACTTCCAATCTTAAAGAGAATAAACTAGCCTATTATGCAGATTTTTGTTTGCTTGGACAGTAGAATATTAAAGAATGAACAAAGGGTGGTTGAGACATTTTATCTCTGACATGTAATAACATACTGGATGTTCCTTCAAGGTCTGCTGTTTGAGGAGGGAATCAGATTTTTCCTTATGGAAACACAAGCGCTGCTCTAAGTATGTTCCAGTACCTTGAATTTTCCTCTAGGTTGAGTAAATGTAGGCCAACTTACAAGGAGGTGGAAGGCTGCATCTTTTCTTCATAGAACAGAGCAGATTGCAGCATCTCACTCATGTCTTTAATGCACAAACTATTAGCCTTGCCAGTCAAACCATGCGGGACATTAAGTATCCTTCAAGTCACACGAGCATACTATAAATGAAAGCAACCAGTGGCTTCATTTGCCCTTGGGGCTTCATTTGGGTTCCCCCCACACCACCACTTTGTGCCCTAAAAATCATAGATAAGAATACATAATTCTGAATCAGAAGTACCTACTTTTCTATATTTGAAGAAATTGAGTTTTACATTTTAGTTATGAATATTTTAAAATAAACTGAGCGCAGGCATCATATTTACCATCACTTCAGAAATAAAACAGGTATTGATTTGTGAGCTCATGTGAAATGCCAGTTTCAGAGTGTTTAAATCCTGTTTTTTGATCCATGCAACAGAAATGGTACAGGCAGTGGTAGTGCAAAGGGCTCAACTGTGCCATGACAGCACCACTGTGAAGTTCCCTCGGCCACCCCATCCATATACCCTGAGCCATCTGCAAGATTTGCAGCGGGTACACTTTCAATCTGTGCCAAGGGCACACCTATACACGCTTATGCTCCATACTCTTCATTTCCTCGCCTTCATGTCCCACCCTCATACCAAACGGCGGGACCTAATGGCACCCACTGAGGGTGGGTAATCCCGGTGAGCCAGCCTGTATTCCACCTTACTCAGTTGGCAGCTTCTTCCCAGAACCATGAACACAGGCGTGTACTTGGTGTCGTTCACCCCTGTCCCTTCTGTGGTGTGAGGGAGACCCTGGCACACATTTATCTAGAGTTCACTTGGTTACAGGCCCTACTCCATTCCTCCTAGATCTTTTATTACATTTCTGGCACTTTTTGCCCCATCTTCTCATTTACGCACAGCCTATCCATGGCCCCACAAAGTCGTGGGACCTCCTCCCAGTGATGGCTAAAGTGGCCATCTATAACACCAGGGAGAGGATGTTGGCTGAGGGGGTTCTTTGCAACTGTGGGCCCTATTTCCGGTCTGCCCTCCATTCATGCATCCAGACAGAGGTCCTCTGGGCAGCGTCCGCTGGCTCCCTTGACACCTTCGAGGAGCAGTGGGTGCTGTCCAGGGTTTTCTGCTCGGTGTCCCCTTTAGGTTCTCTCATTTTGACTCTTTGACCTTCACACCCACCCTTGTTTTCTTTTTTGTTGTCCCCTGTAATCAGTTCAGTTCCCAGGCTCAGGAGATCCTTCCCAAAGGCTGGGGGAGGGTCTTTAGCCGTGGGGGGGCTTATGCCCGCCCACTTCCCCTGGAATTTTCAATAGAACCACTGTGAAAGGTGACTTGGAGGGACCAACTCTGGGGATGAGACATTAGCTCAGTCTTCATGCCCATTTAGTCTTTGGCCTCTCTGCTTAGAATGCTAACAAGGGTGCCATCTATAGTGATGTGATGTGGACATTTGCCCAGTGAGAACTTAACTGAAATCAATCATATTTTATGTACACTGCTTAATAGCCAGCGGAGAGTAATAATTTCCAGTGTCTGCTGACTTTGGTTCTGTTCATACTAATAAGTTAAAGATGAAAGGGTGAATATATCTATTACATTTAAAAAATACAGTAAAAGAAAGCTATTTGGATTGCGAAATAAATCACTCAAAAGTTAGAAAATGCCAGATTTTTGATTATCTGTGCAACCCTAATTTTGTCCTTTTGCGCATCCATTCTGTGTACTGCATGAGGCAGTGGTCCTGTGGAAAAAACAGAACATGCTCATGTAATCGGAGACGGTTTCATAACACATAATACAAGGCGGATGAATTAAGATTGTATGGTCATGTGTAAATCTGGCTTTTCTTAGTTTTCCAGTGCTTAACGTTGCAACCTTAATGTTCTTTAAAAATGGAAGGGGGGATTGCATGCAATTTCCTAAGATGTTTCTTAAGAGAAAAAAAGGTTAAAAAAAGGTACTTTTATGTACAACTGTAGCCTCCCCCAGTCATTCATCATCAGCCTGAACCCTGAACCCATACCACTTGAGCTGTATAACTAATTACATTAACTGGCAGCAAGGGAAAGCTACTCTCCTACTGAAGGGAGATGGGTTGCTGGGGCCATGGACTAGGTCAAGTGATGAAATTAGGGGGAGCTTGGCCCATCTCCTCATCCCCACCCCCTGGGAGTCAAGGGAACTCCTCCCTTATGTAGTGTCCCAGAGGCTGGAGCCATATTCTGGGCAGGTATAATCAGAAAGAGTTGTACCTGGCCCAGTTGCAGCTACATCTGATCTAGACATTCTCAGTTCAGTGCATGCTGCTGCTGCTTTAGCAGTAGTATGGGCCTGACTTTGTAGAACGTTCACGTTCAATGATTATT